TACTGTTGCCTTTGCAAATGCTCCATGTTTGCTCAGTCAGATAAATAAAATACTTTCACATAGTCACAGGAAAGGAATGATATGGTTACCATAAATAAGCAACTTTAAGTATTGTATACAGAACGAGAGAGCGTGTTGTATCAGGTGATAAAGATCCGAGCCGAAGGCGAGATCTTTAGCCCTGATACAACACGCTCTCGAGTTCTGTATACGGCTTATCAAACTTTATAATAATTCTCATTTAATTTAATAAGCCCCGATACAACACGCCCTCGAGTTCTGTATACGGCTTATCAAACTTTATAATAATTCTCATTTTAATGTTTTTGAAAAATTGAATATCTTGCTGCATTTCATCGATTAAAATTATCGCAGTATGTCGCCGTTATTAAATATTCGTCAAATATAACTGTTTGTTTGACGCCATTGTTTCATGAAATGACTGAACTATCTAGGGAATTTCTAAATGATTAATTGAAAGTGGAATTTTATACTTACTCCTGAAAATTGTTTATTTTCCTATTGTTTTTTAAAGAATGTGCTTGCCAAACTATAGAAAATTAGAATTGTCAAAGGAATTGCAAGATATTAGGCATTCATAGTTAGCAAAAATTTAATCAGTTGGCTTTCATTTCTCCCTTGAAGACATGTCGAGTCGATTTAGTAGACCTAAAACTCAACATAAAGAAAGCGCTATTGTTCAGGGGAGTGTTTCACAAAGTTTTCAACAAAATGGTCCGCAACCTTAGTTTGCGACTGGCAAAAAGACCGTGCGAACAAGAAAGGCATTAATGGGAGCACCAGTTTCAGTTTGAAAAACAACGAGTCATTCCAGGATATGCTGACGCTGGTCTTGATGACATGAACGCCGAGTCGTTGATTTTTTGGATGGTCAAATTCATACAAGACGAGGCGCCAAGAAAAACAAAGGAGCTTATCCGACGTAATCCTTAATCCGACAGACCTAATTAATAAAACATTAGTTCTGTATCAGTGATACAGAACTAATGTTTTATTAATTAGGTCTGTATCAGGAAAACGTTGAATGATAATCAGCCCCGCACTCCCCTGAAAATATTCAAAGCCGCCCCCAACTTTGAGCTTGCTGTTCCTTTTATCCAATATAAAGGTATAATCACGTGATTAGATTCTCAGTATATCATTGGCTAATAACATTATGAATTATTCATGAGTTTGATAAGCATAAATATTATCATGACTCTAAATCAATCAAATGGCAGAATTTTATTAAAAAACATTTTTACATACGTAAACTTTGAGAACCGTAATAAT